TCTTAGTACAGAGGGAAAAAGCTCATATGAGCAAAATTTTCCCTCCAAGGGATACGCTGTTTGGTGCAGCACTAGTAACGACCACTCAGATGAGAAATTTAGAGAAATTCAGATTCAGAAATTTAGACACTGATACAATACTTAATGGAGTGTTCGCAAATATTTAAAAAATAGTGACGCCCAAAAATGAAAGAGAATACAATGATCCGTATTTATGCTGGTTTGAAGATTGCAGCTCCATGAAATGTATAGCTCCGAGGGAACAAGTGATGCTATTACTCTCGTGCGAGACTCGTACATAATCATCTTTCAGAAAAAGTGGCGTGTCCACATTTCAACTTTGCAAAATTTTCACCCTCAAATTTTGTAGGTATATACAGGAAAACTGTTGAACATTAATGAGTGATAATTTAACTAAATTTTTTTCTGATATATCGTCGTCTCTCAGACCAAATGACGTGTCCATTTTTCAACATTTCAAGATTTTCACCCGCAAATCGTATATTGGTTAGAAAACTGTTAAGCATCGTTAACTGGAAATTTGACAGAATGAAGATGTTGCATGTGTGAGGAATTTGCGATTTGACTGTTGATTCTTATGTAAAAGTTCGCGAGAAACACGATGGACCCACTGGTTTTCTCTGAAATCAACTCCCAAGCTCAAAAAAGCACTCAAGTAGAGGCCAAAATGGAGGGGATATATCCCACGCTATCCTGAGAGTTCACGTCTGCATCAAGACAAACTCTCCATGCAAAGATAGGGAGCAAATACATTGACAGGGCTGCCACTTTATTTGGGGACTCCAAAACTGAAAACACGGCAACCCTGCTAATGTATTTGCTCCCTATCTTTGCATGGAGAGTTTGTTTAGATGTATAGGTGGACTCTTAGGATAGCGTGGGATATCCCCTCCATTTTGGCCTCAACTTGAGAACTTTTTTTGAGCTTGGGAGTTGATTTCAGAAAAAACAAGTGGCACCATCGTGCTTCTCGCGAACTTTTATGTAGAAATCAGTGGTCAAATCGCAAATTCCTCATACATGCAACATCTCCATAGGAGAAACGGGATTTCACAATTGTCAAACGGAACTATGTGCACAGAGTATGAGCCGTGGGCGTGTATCTAGAGCCTTGTGGACAGGGCTCATGAGTTAGGCGGCGGGTGGACGAGGCACGACGGCGGCTTCGTCACTGGCGCTTTATATTTCCCATTCATTCTTCTGGCCCGGTTACTAACGAGCGCACCCCATCTTTCCCCCTGCACATAGTTCTGTTTGATAGAAATAGACGCACTTAGTGTGACGTCACATCTCGATTTAATTTCAATATCTCGAAAGTCGAAATGTGCCCCAACAAACGCACTCAACGTTCGTCCGAAGACTAAGTGCTATGTCACGAGCTTATTATATTATCGATCCGTGTGTATGTGGTCTCAAACGTTTTGGAAAATAACTAGCTTTCATAATTTTACGGTCTCATGGATTAATGTTCCAGTTTTGGGCTAGTTTTAGCCTTCTTCCATCAATTGTTCATTTTGGAGGTTATGTTTGTTTGTTTGTTGGGGCACATTTCGACTTTCGAGATATCGAACCAACAATATCGCTCCGTGACGTCACCACTAAATGCGTCTACACGTCCGTTTAAAGGTGGTTACGTTCTTTCGTGGGGGAACGACAAATGGATGTATTTCTGCCAAACAGAATTATGTGCATTAAGACATGAGCCCTGAGATCCCTAAGAATATGTGCACAACAGGGCTCACGTCATAATGCACATAGTTCTGTTAGATAGAAATACGTCCATTGAAAGGTGGTTACGTTCTTTCGTGGGGGAACGACAAATGGATGTATCTCTGCCAAACAGAATTATGTGCATTAAGACATGAGCCCTAAGATCCATAAGAATATGTGCACAACAGGGCTCACGTCATAATGCACATAGTTCTGTTTGATAGAAATACGTCTAAATTTCGACTGTTGGATTTCCCTCCCGGCGCGTGTGCGTCGACGCTTGTTGTTTCTGTTTGGGCCTCGTTAAACATGCACGACGGTGTGTTTATTATCATTCATAAATCATGGGCAAGAATGTAATATTGCGCATCGGCAGGGAGCTCTAAGCTGAGGGCTGAGGTGTCGGCGGTTCGCGATGCGGTGGGCCGTTCTTTTCCCCCTTTCCGCTCCGCTCTGCCTCCCCCCCCCCNCCCCGGCCATCTTGTGACAGGAATCCGAAAGCGCCCTCACGCCTTTGAACTGCTCAATTTTCATCCCCGTCGCACAAAGGTGAAGAATTTTAATGATAGGATCTCACCCTTCGGCACTACAGCACGGCTGATCTGCATCTCGTCACCCCCCGGCCAAAGTGTTTCAAGCGTCGTACGACGCTTAAAAATTTCCGCCGCCATGTTATTTTTTTACAGAGAAGTTGTTGAAAGAAGCTGTCCGAAAGTTTCACCGAATTTTCTTTGTGCTGCCGATAAAATACGGTGATATTTTCAAACAGATTCAACCAACAGTTTCTCCTTAAAAAAATAAAATGGCGGTGAAAATGTTTAAACGTCGCATGCCGTTTGTGGTACTTTGGCCGGAAGGTGACGATTTTGCGATGCGATGCTACAGAGTAAGAAAAGTTACCGAATTTTTTTGTCATGTGGGAAGTTAAACACAAAGTAACAGAAGCTGTTGGTATTTTTTTTAATTTCTTAGTTTAGTTTTCCCTGTGTCAGATCGACCAATTCTTTGTGTTGAAGTGACGAAATATTTGTGTTGTAAATCTGCAACTTCGTGAAATTTAGTTATTAGCCGCCAGGATCGAACCTGGATCGTCGATCCTATCGTCCTTTGCGTTGATCAGACATAAAGACAAGCACATAACAAGAGTTCACTGAACACGGACATTTTCAATCGTGTACCACTCCTGTCGCATGTATGAAAACGACTATCTGGGTAGGGAAATAAATGAAACACCGTGAAGCAAGCTTAGTTTCTGAACGCCTGATGTACGAGCTATCAACCCGAATGGACCACTAGACAAGGTAAAAATTTCAGCATTCTGATCTATGTTCCTTCTCCAAAATTTTACGTAAAACAGGATGCGCACAACAAAAATTATCAAAATCAACTCTTTACGAAGATACTTAATGATTCTTGATGCGTAAATTCAAACCATTCTCTCATGAAAACTCAATGCTCTACGTGATTCACATCGCGCGTTAAACGTTATCATGATAATCTTTGCGATATAAAAATCTGGCAACGTCGATCTTGACGCTGCTCAGTTTTAGAAAATCGTTAATAGTTTGAACAACTCATGGTAGGAAATGAACGTTGCTCGATTGAGAAGCTTGCTGAAACCGTTGTAGTGCGCGATTTGACTGACGTAGAGCTTTGAGTTTCTTGTGAGCGGGCAGTTCAAATTCCTCGCAACCGATGTGAAATAAAAACGTTAATATCTTCGTTAGGAGTTGGTTTCAGTAATTTTCGTTACGCGGATCGTGTTTTACGTGAAATTCTGGTTATGGAACATGTATCAGATTGCTTAAATTCGTACCTTGTCTAGTGTTCCATTATTTTGCTGTTTCTTTTCTCGCTCACTTTTTTTAAAGGCACTGTGCGATCTCCGACCGAAGTTTGAGTGGCGAGGCTGTTTGTTTTGTATTTGCGCGGCGTCCGCCTTTGACTCCCGAAAACTTACGCCGTCTTGTTTGTACAGACGCGAATACTTTCCCGCCCGGACGAATCCATGCAAAAGGACCTATTCGAACTTCGTTTCTAACGGCGATAGGTCCTTTTTCCTAAAACCGTTCAATTTTTCTCCCGAAATTTGCAAATCATCTCTCGGAAGTTTTGTCATTCTGAACACCCGCGCCGCAAAAAGCTGATTTGGCTAGGCGCTAAGGTTGAAGACTCTTGACCTAGAACCAGTGGCGTGGCGTGCTTTGCGATATATCGATTGATCTGCCATTTAAACCTATGGAGAAGGATCGATAAACAGGGTGTTCGCAGCGAACACCTTAATAATCGATTTTTTACCATAGCTTCAAATGAGCAAATATCGATAATCGATCATTCACGCCACGCCACTGCAGAACGTGTTTTGGATTGGATTTCGCTCCATTGTTCGGATATACGCTCGGATTGACCTAGAAAGAGTTTCGGATTGGATTTTACTTTGTTGCGCGGAATTAAGAGCACATATTCGTTTGAGCGTTTTTGCAAACGTATAAGCGAGAGGAACTAAAGTTCGAGCCGAGAACAAATCTAATATCCGTCTCGTGAAAAGCTACCGCGTCGGTCCCAACTTCCCTGAAGGGAAAAATATGACTTCAGTTGTCATTTTCCGAGGAGTTCTGCATTTGCCTTTTAGTCCTTTTCAGCAGTAAAAAGAGCAATATAATTAAATGTCACGATGGGCAAATTTCAGGCTCTTCTCGCATATTGAATTTTTTCTATCGAATCGCTTGAATCAATTTTTGTTATTCTGGCAAATTTAAACGACTTTTAACGTTGCCGAATTTTCTTTCGTGTTATTTTTTTGACAGAACTAAAACCACTCAACGCCTTTAAACTATGTATTTGATAAAATTCCAAAATCCTGCATCTCGTTTGCGGTGTCTAATAATTTTCGCTGCTGTTTTATTTTTTAAAGGAGAAAAATATCAACATCACTTTTTGAGATTTTCTCAGAATTTGATGTGGAGTTGGTGTAACAAGTCGATGCCCACATGGCTTTTCGTGAGTTCATCCAATCAGAAAAAGATGCACCCCCACCTGGACTCGTCATTATTGAGCCCGCCAAAAACAACATCTCTAGCGGGTTCGATTTTGGGCATTTTCAAAACGGAGTTCCTCTGCCATTTAGGGCCAAAATTCTCCAAAAAAATTCGAAGGAGCCTCACTAACTTCGAACTTCCAGAAAATGAAGTTTGAAATGCCCGTGTCAGTGACCAGTTGCGGGAAAAAATTGGCTTTCCTGTTCGCAATGAATCGAATTTGGATCTTACCGTCTGCAGTATTAATGTTAGGATCCTCGGCTACAACAGCAAAATAAAACGGGTGTTCTCCATCAAAACCGTCTCGCTCCAATACTGCAAAAAACAAAGAAATATTTAATATATCATTAAAAGAGGACTAATATCTCATCTTGGTAAATTTGAAAACGTGCGCTGTTGACTACCTTAATCTTTCGTTTCAAATTGGACCGCGTTTAGCACATTGGAACCAAGCCATATCAGCTATCGCCAAAAACGGGGCAATTTAATTTTTAACAAGAGAGCGTTTGTGCAGATTCCTTTGAACATTTTAAGGAATTTTTTTCGTACTACATAGAAAATTTGCTGAAATTAGTACACAAATCTGCACAACCAGTTCCATGTAAAAAATGAAAGGGCCCAATGAAATTTGGCGGTAGCTGATGTGACTTGGTCCCTTTCTGCTTAACGCGGTCCAATCGTAAATCGATGCAATTTCTGATGTGCTCCATATGATTTCCGTTTCATTTTCCTTACGGAAAGATGAGATGTTTCCTGTGTGCGACGGATCAATTACAGTCGCTGTATGTCGTCGCAATAGAGACTTACGCGTAGTTTATGCGTTTCTATGGCGTTGTACAAATTATGCACGGCGCAATTCCAATCACCTCCATAGTGGACAGTTAATGCACTCATTTACTTACATGCTCGTGTCACCAATCTGGACAACCCCTCGCCCCCTACCCCATCCCCAAGTGCTTCAGTATGCCCCCCCCTCTCTTGTCATGCCTCAGCCACCACAAGAGATCCACGCTCGGTCGGTGCTTTCAACCCTCCAAAGCTGTCACACCTCTCTGCACTCGTTGCCGGTTTTTTTGTGCAAGATTGGACCATCTGCCTTTGTCACCATAAGCGAATTTTTCTTCCATGACCTGACCCACTTTTTTTCAAAACGTAATAGCTGAATTTTTCTCAGGTACAGTACACTGGAGAAAAAAACACATTGGATCTAGAGTCCAGACTCTTAAAAACATCGACAAGAAAAAATACTCTTGATTCAATGGGATTTTTGCTTAAATCAAGAACCAAGCCTCTTAATTTAAGCGGATTTCCTTTTGATTTAAGCAAAAATCCGATTGAATTAAGAGTATTTTTTCTTGTCAATGTTTTCAAGAGTCTGGACTCTAGATCCAATGTGTTTTTTTTTTCCCCCAGTGGACGGTGAAACTACCAGGCCACGTTTCTCGTTTGCGGTACTAAAAAATCTCCGCTCCTATTTTATTTTTTTTGAAGGAGAATAAGAAATCACCATACTTTCTTGATTCTTAGAGTTTTCTTCGCGCAGAGAAGAAAAAACAGGGAAGTTTTCAAAAATTAACTTTCAGTAGTTTTCCATTTGAAAAATGAAGTAAGACAGGAAGTCTACAGCGTCGCAATCCGAAAAACGTAGTCTGGTACTTTCATCGTCGATATTTTAGAGACCCCAACCTTTTTCGCAAAAACTCGCGCGACCAAGTGCTCACCCCGACATTCATCAGTCATCATTTGGCAAATTTTATTCGATTTCATGCATAAAATGATGATCGGTGACCATCTTCAAGTGGAAAGGAGGGTGGAGGGTGGACCTCCGAACCTATTTTTTTCCTTAGCCGATTTCATTGCTTTGAGCGTTTGTGAGGGGCCCCTGTAGTGTAAACTGGAAAAAGAAGTCGCTTGGATCTAGAGTCCAGACTCTTAAAAACCTTGACAAGAAAAAATACTCTTGATTCAATTGGATTTTGGCTTAAATCAAGAACCAAGCCTCTTAATTTGAGCGGATTTCCTTTTGATTTTTGTAAGCGTAAATCTGATTGAATCAAGCGTACTTTTTCTTGTCATTGTTTTCAAGAGTCTCGACCCTAGATCCAAGCTACTTTTTTTCCAGTGTATTTGAATCGCGTTATGCAGAAAGGAACCAAGTCACATCAGTTATTGCCAAATATTGAGCAACTTAATTTTTTATAAGCGAACGTTAGTGCGGATTTTTTTGAAATTTTTAAGGAATTTGCTTCGCACCATGCAGCAAATTTACTGAAATGTGCAGAAAAATCCGCGCAGCCGTTTTCTTGTAGAAAATCATATTTCCCAATTTTTGGTAATAGCGATGTGGCCTGGTTTCTTTCTGCTGAACGTGGTCCATTTTCTCTAGCCTCCACTGCTGTGCAAATAATTTAGGTTTTATCCACACTATACGGCAACGCTGTTCTGTTTGCCCTCCCCGGCGCCACAACAACAAGCCGCTGAGACCACGTGATCGATGATCGGAACAGGAGTGACTAGCGGCGGATCAGATGCAGGGGTGCCAAGTGGTCACGATTAATAGGATTTTCCCCCCGCAGGGACGACGAGGAAACTCGCGAATATGACACCGGCGATCGGACGCGGGAATTAGCCGGTAATTGAAAGGGATTTGCGAGGGGGAGGGTGGACTCGGGGACGGGGACGGGGATGGACCCGTAAATCGAATGAGCGGGAAAGTGCGCGAAATGCGTGCGTCACTCAGGTGTGTGACACACCTGCGGGTCAGTTGTTTCAGAAAAACCTTTTTGGTGCCAAAGGACAAGTACTCAGATACTTCGTAAAGCACCAAGTTGAAATCAATACACCATGTTTGATGACGGAGAATAATTAAGCGTTTAAAAATTTCCGAGTTGGTGTGTTTTCGTTTTCGCCGACTTTCAGATACTGATTTTTCATAGTCTGCCCTGAAAAATTTATATTTTCTGACCCGAATAACGCTTGAATATTTTTATAATAACTTGTTGGCACAAGGCATTCTGAACCGAAGAAAGAAGACATCAAAATCGGATGGTCACCCGTTTCCCTTGAAATGGCCAAACATTGGTATTTCCAATGAAATACCTCGATTCTTCCCTTTTCCCGTCGCTGTTTCGAGCACTTCCGATTGCAATTTCGAAATTTCCTTTTCCGTGCAGGTGCTTCTATCCGTAAGTGTTACTGAACCGTAAAAAAGCGAAAATCGAAAAAAAACCCGAGTTGGTGTGTTTTCGAACTCACTGATTCAAATAATATTGGAAGGAACGGAACATATCGATTCAAGAGTCGATCGCGTTCTGGAACTTAAACAAATTGGACCACCGTGCGCCTTCATTTATTCGTGTACGCAACACGGATAGCCGTCGAGTTCGAATAGTCGTATCCTGCGCCTGGATTGTGGCATCGAAATCGAATGACCAGTATAGGTAGTTCTAATTTGCATGCTTCTAACTGCAGCATGCCCTTCGGCCTACTTCTAAGATTTAAGGCGAAGTAGGAAAAAAGTGAGCTCGCAGTTTCAATGTTCCAGGTCTCTGGTAGATTTAAGCGTTACTCGTTTTAATCAACCATCACCACAAAGCCGACTGACAGCTTTGGTTGGATTAAATTGGATTTATTCAACTTGCTTTCGGCGATGTTGTTGCCCCTAGCCTGTATATTCCCGCTGGATTTGATCCGAGACAAGAAAAAAAATTGATGAAAGCATCTTTTCTGAAGTTTGTTTTTTAGTTCGACTCGGATATGGTCATTGCTGAGAGGTTCGCAGTCGAAAAGAGGAAGTTTTCGAGAAAAAGAAAAACCTCTCGCTGATATTGCACAATGACCCTCCTAAACCAGTAAGATGAGGATATACATTACCCTCTTTAATATTTCTAAGCAGAAAGAACTACGATACAATACAACCGTGCTCAGGGAAAATGCCGTATGAACATTCGAGAGTTGCCATATTTATACCAATAAAATTTTCATTTTTGAGGAAAGTTATTGATATTTTTCCTTGAAATTTTTAGATCTTTTTAGATTAACTTGCGAACAAAATTCTCCGAAAAATTTGAAGAGAAATATTCAAAATTTTCCCACTAAATCCGGGGTTTATCGAAGGAAATCGAAGGATATACATTACCCTCTTTAATATTTCTAAGCAGAAAGAACTACGATACAATACTACCGTGCTCAGGGAAAACTCCGTATGAACATTCGAGAGTTGCCAAATTTATACCAACACAATTTTCATTTTTGAGGAAAGTTATTAATATTTTTCCTTGAAATTTTCAGATCTTCTAGTTTAACATGCGAACGAAATTCTCCGAAAATTTTGAAGAAAATTATTCAAAATTTGCCCAGTAAATCCGGGGTTTATTGAAGGGAATCTGACGACGTTTGAAGGCTCATACGGCGTTTTTCCTAAGTGCGATACAATACAAGGTCAGGTCGCCCTGAGCCTCGCTGGGAGAGCGCCGAGCTGGCCGGAGTGGGGCGGAACTATGACCGCTAATCCCAATCCCTGCGATTGAACAAGTTCTAGAGGAGGAAGGGAGAAGGGGGGAGGGGTGAGGCCGATAAACCCCTTTACTTTGAAGTCATTTCGCATGCATGTTCGCCAGGAGCGAGCGAGCGAGTAAGCGCGCTCAAAGCAACTCCTCGCTGCTGCCGGTTCGCACTGTCAGGACCAGAGACAAAATACGAGAATTCGCACATCTCCCAATATTCGCAAAAATCCGCAATCAAACACTGAGAGAAAAAAACTTCGTGCGTGGGACCCGAAGTTTAGGTCATATGGATCTCTGAAGTTATTAGATTGAGCATCTGAACACTTAAGGTCTAGCTGTCGAGGTTTGGATCACACATCTGAAAATTGAGTTCTTACATTTGAAGTACTTCGGTTTTCACATCCGAAAAACTTCGGTTCTCACATCTGAAGTACTTCAGATGTAAGAACTGAAGTTTCAGATGTGTGATCCGAACCTCGACAGCTAGACCTAAAGTGTTCAGATGCTCATTCCCAAAACTTTAGAGATCCATATGACCTAAACTTCCGGTCCCACGCACGAGGTTTTTTTCTCCGTGTAAAATATACACACATTGACAACTTTTCTTTAAAATAAATATTGATCGAAAAAATTTAGTGACACCGAATGTTCACGTGTCATTTTTCCTCAGCACGGCAGAGCAGTTAAGAACGTCGCGTGTTTTAACCGCAAGCAACTACATAAACTCTCCGGACATCAAGTTGCATACCTGACAGAGTGCAGGCACTCTAAGGATTTGGTCATTAACGGCCGAAACGCTTATTATAAAGC